GAGGCTCCTGAGTTCCACATCTTAGCTGGGGAAACCCTTCCCTCGGAGCTGAAATACCTCTGTTGAAGAGGCTTCCTCTGAGAGCTGTGTGGTTCCTGGGACCCTGTTGTCTCAGGATGCCCTTCCACTGGAATACCCTCCCCTTTCAGAGCTATATGGTTCCTGGGCTTCCAATTCGCAGGATACCTTCCCTTTAGAGCAGAAAGATCAACACATCCCAAGAGCAAGAACCAATCCTGACACTATGAATTATATTCTGTTATGCTTGCAGATGGAAGTCTAGCATAACTGTCCTCTGAAAAGTTCTACCCAGCCACTGACTGAAAGAGATGCAGAGACTCACAGCTAAATATTAGACAGAGGAATGCTTAAGGAAGAGGTTAGGGGAACCACTGTGGCCCCCAAAGGGGATAGAAACTCTACTCCCTTTGAAGAAGGCCAAGAGAGTCAATAAGAATGGACCCTTGGGGGCTCCCAGAAACTGAACCACCAACTGAAGAGCATATAAGGGTTTAACCTAAGCCCCTGCATATATATATAGGAGATTTGTAACTTGGTCCTCACATGGGTCTGCCAACAACTGAAGGGGGGGCTTATGCTGCCTCTGTTGCCTGCTTGTGGATCATGCTTCCCTAGCTGGGATGTTTTGTCTGGATTCAGTGGGATAGGATGCACTTAGTCCTATAGTGATTTGAGGTACCAGTGTAGGTTGGTACCCAGGGGAGACCTCCCCTTTCTCAGAGGTGAGAGGAAGGGGGGATGGAGGAAGTGGCCTGGGAGGGGAGACTCGAAGGAAGTAGAGGCTACAATCATGGTGTAAAGTGAACAAATAAATAAATTAATGGAGAAAAATGTATGCAAAAATATAGACTCATTACTTGGAGAACAAATATTACTACATATTCTCTGTGGTAGAAAATTAGATATGAAGTTATAAATGATACACAGGGAACTCTTAGAGCATTATGATTTAGTCTGCACCCTCAGCTATCTCACTTTCCACAGTGTTAGAATATGAAAATATGGCAGCGGGTGAAATTCAACAAATTCAACAGTGGCCACAGCCACAGTAAGACTACTCACACTTGGGTGTGAGCATGGTAGAAAACAAATTCAAGAGTGCTTCAAACACAAGGATAACAGCATGGTGAAAACTGCTGTCTGCTTCCCCATGTCCAGTTCTAGCAGGGAATCTTAAGTTTACACTAAAGTTTACCCTAAGTTTACACTAAACTTAAGTTTACCCTAAAGATGACCTCTTAGCTTTTCAAAGTTCTGCCACTGTGCTGCTAGGCATCTTCCAAGAGAAATAATCACCTTTTCAGGCATTTCTTGTCAAAAGTGAATTGAAAAGCTACAATCCTTACAGTAAATTATGTGATCATAATATCTCTGCTCTCCAACCATGGTCATTTCTGAGGAGTAGCTGCCACATTGAAATTTGAGCTGACTGAGTGATTTACTGAGTTTTATTTTATGAGACATTTGGAAGGAAAAGAAACAGAAACTTATTAATACTCAACTATTACTTTTCCCATATGATTTAGGAGCTATTCTGCAAGATATTTGGAAACTCAGGCATTATCCATTTAACTACTTTCTATCACAAAACACTTGGTCAACATTAATCTGACTAAATTAACATATGTAAAAAGAAGAATGTTTATATGGTTTTTCCTAAACATAACTACAAACAGAATCAAATAAACACAAGAAGAGACTTTCAAATCTTAACTACCTAGTAATCTTGTTCAACCAACATTAAAATATTCAAAGACATATACAAATACTTGATCATGAAACCAAGGTTATATTTATTATTTATTTATTTTATTGTTTATCAATTTTTAATAAATTGATTTAAAAATTGAGATAATTTTTGCCTCCAAAGAACTCCAGTTTTCTACATCAACATAAAGCATTAATTTCATATTCTCATGTAAGCAATTTTGTGAAGCCAGGAATGTAACATAGTCATAAAGAATAAAGCTCTGGTTTTGAGCTCTAGTGTTGGAAAATTAATATCTAAAAATATGTTTATGAAGAATACATGATGATAGCTTGGTTCCACAGATGCAAAGATTTCTTGCATAATCACAGTTTATATTTTTGCTTTATGAATAATTTCGAACTTATGACTTTGGTAAGTGACATTTGATGCCTAATCAGTAAATGGAATAATATTAAATTATTTCCATAAAAGTACACTTATGAGAAACGGAGATGTTCTATAGTCACAATAACACAAAATACTCACTGGAAGATTTGCAAACTAGAACCTGACTGACCATTCTGTTATTTACTAATAACCAAAAGCCATATCATAAACTTTGCCTGGCAAATTAAGAGGAATAAATTAAATTAACCCCCATATATATAAACTTTTACATTGGGGGGAGTTTTTTCAAGTACCATCCCATTTTGGTTCAAAACTGCTGGATGAACAAAACAAGCCAGGACCTTCTGCTCCTATCAAAGCCTATGCAGAATAAAGCATAGCAACTGCTTTGAGAATTATTGCATGGTGGATTTGAAGATTCAGGGGTGGTTTTGCTCAGTTCCTTTCTACATACCTATGTAATCACAGATTCATGATACTAGCCTGTGACAATTGCTAGATTAATTTACGCCACAGAACTCTAGACGTTAGGTACTGGAAAAAGAACTCAATCTAACTGTGGTTAGACAGAGTAATTTAGCATTCTTCTCTTGTAAAGCGATCAGTGTAGTTTAGTCTGGTCTACCTAGCTAAGGAACTCAATCATCCCACTCTACAACCCCACACATACATCATCATCATCATCATCATCATCATCATCAGTCTTTTGAGAAAAAATCTGAAACCATATCCTAGGCTAGCCTAGAACTCACTATGCAGTCAAACTCATGGCAAACCACTTGCCTCGGTCAACCAAGTGTTACTTGGATCGCAAGAATGTATCACAATCATCTTAAATCTCCTGTCCTGGTAACAGACAGAAGTCTGTGGGAGATTAATGACATGTATGTTTTATTAAAGACTTCCATTTAATGATCCTTGATGTGCAAAACAAACAGAATAACTCTAATTCCAGGACAGAAAGAGAAGTAGTAGGACAATGGGTGAACAGTCTACAGTGCAGGAAGGAGCATTTGTTGATGTGTAAGTATCAGCACTGCCAGAGAAAGGGTTTAATATCGATGATTCCCAGGAAAGTGCAACTGTAGAAAGTCAATTTTAACAAATTGTTCAATTTCTGACAATCAAATATAAAAGGTATGCCTTTAATCTCCTGTCTTATTTTTAGAAAAGGTACCTGCCTTTCACTCATGAAGGTATTTGCAGTCAAGTAACATTGAAATTTTATAGAGAAGATGAAAGTTTACATTTTGACACTTTTTCCTTGATGGTGGGCCAGAACTAAAAGTCTAGCCAACCATGATTTTTTGACAGAATGACAGAAACACACAGAACGGTTTCTTTCCTTTCTCTCTATACAATAACCAAAACACCTTCCACAAAGTGTGTTTATACATGTAAATAGTTACAATGTATGAAAAAAAGTCATTGGGTAGACAACTTTCACGTTAATCTCATGGGAAACAAATTTTGAAAGTTTATCTTATTTTAAAATCATTAAAATTAACCAAAAGATATGATATATTATATTTATGATATATACATAAAATATATATGAATGTAGCAGGAACAACAGCAGTAGCTTGTTGTGGACACCTCTTGTACTTTGATAATAACTCTACAGGAGCTTTCTTATACCTAGTTTTGGGTTTTTCTTGGATGGCCTATGTCTCTTGTGGGAAGCATTGTCAACCCAAGTGGCATAACATTTTTTAACTCTATATATGTTTGCGTGTGTGTGTGTCTGTATGATCTTTACTAAACATGCAATCTTTCCTGAAGACTTTTTCAAACATCTTTAATGATATTTTAAATTTTCCTTCCCAGTGTTTCAGTGCTGACTTCTCTCCATCTCTCAATTAAAGCTCCTTCCTCACTCAACATAATATTTACCAGCTACATTTAAATATTTATCCTTATTCCCACAGATATATGTAGCTTGCACCCCTCATCAAATAAGTGTCTCTTTGCACTAAATGGAGAATATAATGGAAAACCACAACTGATTGAAATACATAGAATGACTGATCACAGGATGCCGTGCCCTCATGGATACATCTACAATACAACTTCTACACATACGGTTCAGGGAACTTTGTGGAAGAAAGGGATGAAAAAATTGTGAGAGCCAGAGGTTCAAAAGGCAGCTCTGAGATTGCATTTTCTAGAAACAAAAGGAAAGCTACACTGACTACAGGAATAGACATGCTAACACGGGAAGGAGAAATGTCACAGGCCTCAACCCTAGAGAAAGAACTACGTGATTGCTGAGAGAGGGAGAATTTGTCTTCTACAGGAATGAGTCTCCTAATTGGTTATTGAATACCAAGAGATTTGTAGTCAGCCCTGAAGTCCTACACATAAAAGCTATACCAAATGAATTCAGCAAATTGTGTTTGTATATTAATATAATTTACATATTAATGTGTGTATATATATGTACATGTGTATGTATATGTGGTGTGTGTCTGTGTGTGTGTTTGCATGTGTGTGCATATGTTTGTGGAATTATGTGTGTGTATGTGTGTGTGTGTATGTGTGTGTGTGTGTGTGTATGTGTGTGTGTGTACGTGTGTGTGTGTATGTGTGTGTGTGTGTATGTGTGTATGTGTGTGTGTGTATGTGTGTGTGTGTGTATGTGTGTGTGTGTATGTGTATGTGTGTGTGTGTATGTGTGTGTGTGTGTATGTGTGTGTGTGTGTGTGTATGTGTGTGCATGTGTGCGTGTGTGTGTGTGTGTGTGTGTGTGTGCATATAGGAAAAAGAAACCATCAATCTAAGGAGTAAAGTGCAGCATGGGTGATAGGAGAGGACATGGGAGAAATTGGGGGAGTAAAGGAAAAAAATGCTGTAATTATATTTAAAGAAAATAAAAAATGTTGTGCTCACTTCGACAGCACATATGCTAAAATTGGAATGATACAGCGAAGATTCGCATGGCCCCCGTGCAAGGATGGCACGCAAATTCGTGGAAGCGCTCTGTATTTTTTAAGAAGTAGAAAAAAAAGAAAAAAAAGTTAGTAAGAAAAGAGAGCAAAAGAAGAACAGTCCACACATTGATTTGTTTGATGTTTCTTTTGAGATTATTTTAACTTTCATAAAGACCCTCTTATATATTATTTTATCATTTATCATTGTTTTTAAACCGAGTAACATACCCCCTAGAATTTCAATCCAGATAGAGCTTTGGGTACTATACCTTAGAAAACCATGTAGCATGTACTTCTGTCCCTAAATAGAATTCTAAAGGCTTTTATTATTTCAGGGTTCAATTTTGGCAAAACTACTGTATAAATGATGCTGTTATCTCTCCTCAAGAGCCAAGTGACAATACCATGGTTAGAGTAACCTCTAAAGATCATGCTCTGGTCTTGTTAATTTGTTAAAGGTTTAAACATAGTGATAATCTAGTTTTCACTTGCTTGTTCAGTATCTAGAACATTTGTATAAAAAAGAAAGTTACTCTCATCAACTCTCTGGCATTAATCTTTGTAGGAAAGTCAAAGGGAATGCCTCCTCTTCTCCTCCAGTTCCCTAAATAATTTGCCAGATAGCATCTTTTAAGGTTGCTAGGCATTCCTCCTTTATTTTTTTAAATTCATTTATATTTGGCCATTTGTATATCTGTGCTGAAAAATATGTGGTGTTCTTTAATCTGCTGTCTTATTGTTTTAACTCATGGTCACTTTGCCATTTGGGGACCTGTAGAAATCTTATTAGTTGGTTGTTGACTATTTCTGTCTGTATTGGTAATGTTTAGCAGTTTCTTTGCTTTCTGGTACTGTTTATTCTCCTAGTTGGAAAAGAATATATCTGCATTATCTCTTTCAATCTTTGACAAGAGCTTCTCATTAATTTTCTGTCTCACCAAGAACTACAGCTTCGTTATGACACCTTTACTTTTCTTCACATTGAAGCTGTTTCAAGTTTTCCCTTCCCTAAACAATCCTGCTATGATGTTGGCTTGTCAGTACTGTTTTCAAGAAATATCCTTGCTGTTTCTATATTTATTTATTTATTTATTTATTTATTTATTTATTCATTCATTCATTTATCTATTGAATATTTTATTTACACTTCAGATGTTATTCCCTTACCTCATTTCCCCACCCTCCACCCAAGGACCCCTATCCCATCCTCCCTCCTCCTCCTTCTATGAGGATGTGCCCCCACCTAACCCCCACTCCAACCTCCCCAACCTCGAATTCCTCCACACTTGGTGCCTAGCCTTCATGGGGGCAAGGATCTCCTCTCTCACCTATGCCCAACAAGGCCATTCTCCCCTACATATACAGCTGGAGCCATGCTATGTGCTCCCCAGCTGGTGGTTTAGACACTGGGAGCTCTGGTTCGTTGGTATCGTTGCTCTCGTCATGGAGGGGCAAACCCTTTCAGCTACTTCAGTCTTCTCTCTAACTCCTCCAATGAGGATCAGTTCAATGGTTAGCTGTGAGCATTCACCTCTGAATATGTCAGGCTCTGGCAGACTTCTAAGGAGACAGCTATATCAGGCTCCTGTCAGCATGGACTCACTGACATCCACATCAGCTTCTATCTCCTTCAGTTTCTGTCCCACATTTTGTCTCCATATTTGCTCCCTTGAGTATTTTGTTACTCCTCCTAAGAAGGACTGAAGCACCCACACTTGGTCTTCCTTCTTCATGAGCTTCATGTGGTCTGTGAGTTGAATCTTAGGTATTTCAAGCTTTTGGACTAATATCCACTCATCAGTGAGTGAATACCATGTGTGTTCTTTTGTGATTGTGTTACTTCACTCAGGATAATATTTTCCAGTTCCATCCATTTACCTAAGAATTTCTCAAATTCATTGTTTTTAATAGCTGAGTAATACTCCATTGTGTAAATGTACCACATTGTTTTGTATCCATTCCTTTGTTGAAAGACATCTGGGTTCTTTCCAGCTTCTGGCTCTTGTTTGTCTGTGCTCTTTATTTTAATGGTGGCATGGTAATTCATGTCACTGACAAATGAACACAATCTGTGTATAAACTACAGAGGTATAGTGCAAATGAGGAATTTAAAGTTGTCAAATATTTGCTTCCCTTATAAGTCAGTTTAGAGAAAAATTTTGTTTCAATGTCTACTGATTCTCTTCAGTTATAAATTATACAGGTCATTCTTCTCTAAAAAATTATTAAAGTCTCAAAAATCACTATAGGCAATGCTGGTAAAAAAAAGAGCCACATTAGTGATCATGGGACTTTGTTTATTGCCTTGCTTGTTCTTTGACTATTTGTGTTTATTGTCTTGTTTGTTCCTTGACTAATTGGAACTACTATATTGTTATTTCCTCAACCTAGAACTGACCTTAATTCTTGGAAGTAATTAAAATGGTATAAAGCAAAAAGGAGGAGGAGGGATGGGATAGGGGGCTCATTGGGGGTGTAGGTGGGGAAAGGGGATAACATCTGAAATGTAAATAAACTAAATATAATAAAAACAAATACAATAATTAAAAAAAGAGCCACAGTGTGTATGCAACTACAGTGCAAGAGTATTCTCCAGACACAGCAGGGGAGTTGAGTATATTAATTCACAGAGATCACAACAGTGTGCACAAGTTAACAAATGCATGCTAAAACCTGGTAATTCTCAAACAATTAATGAAAATATTATTTTAATTATTTTAAAAATTATTTTTTACATAGAAATATACCTAAAATCTCATTTTCTTTTACTTAAACCATTCCTTTAAGGCAAAGAACACTAACTTTTGGAATTCGATGGAAAATTCTTTACATTCCCAGTAGGTTTATTCAAAGACTTATCTTTAATGTATATAAATCTGTACTTTGAAACTGTTTTAGATAAGTATATTAAAATACAACATATATCAAACAAAGACTGCCATTCTCAATTCTAAAGAATATTTTAAATAATAAGCATACAAAAGCCTATATTTTAAAAGCAGCAAGCAGTGCCAGCAAGATAGAACAACAGGTAATGATGTTTACTCTCAAGCTTGAAGACCTGAATTAAGTCTTCAAGATATACATGATAGGATGTAACTGGCTTTAGTAACGATATCCTTTGGCCTTGGCAGATTTCTCAACTTTCTTAATGCTGTGACCATTTAATACAGTTCTTCATGTGATGACACAAAAACATAAAAGCATTTTGTTCTTATTTCATAACTGCTACTATTATAAATTGTAATAGAAATATCTAACATATAAGAGATCTGAAATGTGACCCCTCAGAAAAGGTCATTCAACCACCCCAAAAAAGTTGAACAATTGATGAACATGTCAAGAAGCGTGTATCCAAGCCCCACTCCCAAAGGTAAATGTGATAAAAAAAAGACTGCTAACTACAAACTTCATAAAAATATTAATAAACATATTTAAAGATGCTAAATGTCATGGATTGTTGGAGAAGTATAAAATAAAACCATAACAAAAGGCTACGACATAGTATTCACAATGACAGAAATTAAAACACATATAGACACACACACACACACACACACACACACACACACTTGTTATTTCAAATGTTGACAAGGACTCAGTACACCTGGAACTTTGGTGCCTTTTTTTTTATAGTAAAAATTGGATACATATACTGGAATTGCTTGAAGAGTCATTACAAATGCATAAACACATATACAACATGCTCTGATAATTGCTTATTTATATAAGGAAAAAAATCAAGACAGGTGTTCATTGAAGTCTTATATTTGAATATTTGTAGCCTTATCTTATTCATGATAGTTTCAACTTGGGAAAATTTGAGTGTAAGTGAATAGAAATATATATATATATATATATATATATATATATATATATATATTGTTTATATTTATGCAATGGAGTGTTTCTCAAAAGAATGGATCAATTTCAAATGCCTGTGTATTTGAGCAGCCCTGACCTAGCTGCAGGTTGTCCCAAGAACTCTGTTGTCTGGTCATGCTCTGCCAGCACTATTGGGCCTGCTGAATGAGGAACAACCAGGTTTTATCACTTCCCTCCATTCACCTGCCTGCCCCTAGGCACGCCCAGCCTCCCTGAGCTAGTTTTGGGCTGTCCCTACAGCTCTATATTATCTGGTCACTGTTCTGATGGGAACAAAGGAAATAAAGAAAACACAATTTGAGGGAACTCTGGAGATAGAAAACCTAGAAAAGAGAACAGGAACTACAGATGTAAGCATCACCAACAAAATAAAAGAGATGGAAGAGAGAATTTCAGGCATAGAAAATACTCCAGAAGAAATTGATATATCAGTCAAAGACAATGTTAGGTCTTAAAAATTTGTGGCACAAAACATTCAGGAAATCTGGAAATCTGTGAAAAGGCCTAACCAAAGAATAATTGGAATAGATAATGTGAAAAGCCCAGAATAAAAAACCACAAAATATTTCAACAAAAACATAGAATAAAATTTATCCATCCAAAAAGAGGTGCCTATAAGCAGACAAGAAGCTTACAGAATGCCAATTAGATTGGACCAGAAAAGAAACTCTTCCAGCCACATAATTATCAAAACACAAAATCTACAGAACAAAGGAAGATTACTTAAAAGCTGCAATGTATTCAATTCTATTCCATTGTTCTACCTGACTGTATCTGCACCAATACCATACAGCTTTTATCACTATTGCTCTGTAATACAGGGTTAGGGATGGTGATTCCCCAAGAAGTTCTTTTATTGTTAAGAATAGTTTTCAGTATCCTGTGTTTTTTATTATTTCAAATGAATTTGCAACTTGCTCTTTCTAACTCTATGAAGAACTGAGTTGGATTTTGATGAGGATTTCATTGAATCTATAAATTGTTTTGGGCAAGATGGCTATTTTTGCAATATTAATCCTGCCAACCCATTGTAGATACAGAAATGAACCCACATACTTATGGTCACTTGATCTTTGACAAAGGAGCTAAAACCACCCAGTGGAAAAAAGACAACATTTTCAACAAATAGTGCTGGTTCAACTGGTGGTCAGCCTGTAGAAGAATATAAATCGAT